GGGAGGGAAAGGGAGACAGAGAGGGAGAGAGAAGAGAGAAGTGTCTGCCATAGACACAGGTTGTGGGGCTGGGCAGGAGGGAAACTGGAGACATTGGTGCAGGAAATGTGCACTGGTGAAAGAATGGGTGTTGGAACATTATCTGACTGAAACCTAATCATGAACACCTTTGTGATTTTGTATCTCACGGTGACTCAGTTTAAAAACAAAGTAAGACACGCAAATTAATGGGAGAAAATACTGGACATCAGGAAAAAATTCATAGATAGCTAGGTTCCACGAGAATTCTGAACAAGAACTGAGTGCTGAAAGGAGGTAAAATGATATACGTGATCATAGCTAGGAAGCTGCATTCAGAACTGCGCCATTTACCCATGGTCAGTCAGAGCCCCTAAAGCAAGCAGCTGCTAATATCGCTGTGCATTTCTTTTCTTCATAATATCTCACAGAGAGGCTACACTGACATTCTAAACTGTAGACACCCAATCACATAACAACACACAACATTCATCTCGGGGGTGCAAAAGGCACAATGGGAAAGCAATGCAGAACTCCACCATGCTTAGTCACTGAGGATGGTGGCCCTAAGATTCAACCAGTAATAATCTCTCTAACAAGGACTTCAGAGAGGAAATATTGATGTTTAAGGAGCTCAAATAAACAATGGAATGGACAGCCAGTTAAACACAAGAAGATATGAGAGCACAAATTAGAAGACTACAAGCAGAAATGACCAAACTAAAAAATTTGGTAGGTGAAATGAGAAACTCACTGGAAGACCTCAGCAGCAGAGCAACAGTAGCTGACGGCAAAATCAGTGAGCTCCAAAGATAAGGTGCAGAAAACCTACAGACAACATCAGAAGATGGAAAAACTCAAAACAAATGAATAGTAGGCAAGAGAACACTGAAATGAATTCAAGAGGGACAACCTAGGGTCTCAGTGAGATAAGAAGGTAGCCCTCATGAAGAAGCAACAGTTAAAAGCATCATTGCTGAAAAGTTCCCAGAGCTGGAGTGTGCAGACACCCAGATCCAAGAACCGTTAAGGGTACCAAGTAAAAGATATCCAAATACTCCAAGACATATACTAATCAGAATGACGATAGCTAAGATTGAGATTAATACTTAAAGCAGCAAGATCGAAGAAAGAAATACCTACAAAGGAGCGTTGATATGATTTATAGCAGGTTTATCATTTGTGCCTGAAGACAATTGAATTTACCAAATCTCAACACCTACTTTACCTATTTCCCTACTTTACCCTTAGGCAGCCACTAATCAGTTTTCTGCATTTTTATAATTTTAAGAAGTGTAATCATACACTATGTATTCTTCCTTGTCTGTCTTCCTTCATTCAGCAGAATTATTTTATTTCTCTGTTTTAGAATGTATATTAATACTTCATTCATGTTTCCTGCTAAGTAATATTCAAGTTTGCTTATTCATTCACCTACTGAAGAACATTTGGGTTGTTTCCAATTAAGAGGTTGTTGAAAATAAAGCTGCCATGACCAATAATACATAGATTATGGATTTTGTTTTTCTCACCAAGAATACTTTGTTCAGTCAGACTCCCATTCAAGTATAAAGGAACGATACACGACATCACAGATAAACAACAGAGAGGAATTTCATAGACTCAAAACCAACTATACAAGAAGAATGAAAAGGGCTACTTTAAGACAAGATAAATATCAAAAGCACAGCAAACTTCTACAGAAAGATGGCACAAAACTTCATGACAATAATTTCAATGTCAGGAACTTAAATGCAGCAACTAAGAGATACAGAATAGCAGGATGAATTGGAATATTGAATCAAACCTTCTGCTGCTTATAAGAAACACAGTTGAATAGCAAGGGCAATCAGACTCAAAGTCAAAGGTTGGAAGACAATATTTCAAGCTAACAACCCCCACAAAAAGGCTGGTGTGGCCATTAGTATCAGAAAACATGAGCAGGAATAAAAAAAGTTATGAGACAGAGAAAGCCGTTTCTTAATGATAAAAGAATATGTACAGCAGTAAGAATTCACATTTTTAACATGTATGCAGGGCTGGAGTGATAGTACAGTGAGTCAGGCATTTGCTTTGCACACGGCTGACCTGGGTTCAATTCCTGGCATCCCATATGGTCCCCCAAGCACTGCCAGAAGTAATTCCTGAGTGCAGATCCAGGAGTAACCTCTGAACATCGCTGGTTGTGACCTAAAAAGCAAAAAAACCCACCAAAAAACCAAAAACCAAAAAAATATATGCACCTAACTAGAGACCAGCAAAATACATAAAGCAACTGCTAACAGACTTGAGGGAAGACCTCGATAACAATAATAGTTGGAGATTTCAATACCATTCTATTACCACTTCATAGACCAAGTAGATTAAAACTCAGCAAAGAAATACTGAACTTGAAGGAAGAAATGGAAGAGAGGGGTTTAATGTATAGCAGAATACATATTCTCCTTTAAGTGCATAGGACATTCTCCATGATAGACTACATGCTAGGCCACACGATTTACCTCCAAAAAGTCAAGAACACAAAAATTATATCAACTATCCTCTCATGGTCTGTGGTTACTATGTTAACCACAAGTAGAAACAGAGAAACAACTCACCCATGCTTTGGACTAGTTTAGCTGTTAAAAATCCTTCTTTTGAGATACACAAAAGAATCTCCAAACTGAGGAGCTCGCTGCAGAGATGTCTCCAGACATTGCACCAGGCTGATTTCACCGTGGTGCCTCAGAGGGGAGCAGGGGTTGTCCCTCCACTTACCCACTAGGAATCCTGGAGGCCACCAACTTCCAGAACCCAACCCATGTAAGTGGGAGCAGTGATTGCAAACTCCAGGCCTCAAGGGATAGGGGATGGACCTGTCTTCTGGATGTCATGCCCACGCATTGCCTCCAGCTGCTGTTTAAGTTCATTAACAGCCATGACCCAGAGACATACAAAAGAATCTTGGAACTGAGCAGCTTGCTGCAGGGATTTCTACAGACTCTAATTATCTAACATTCTAAAATTCTACAAGTGCATAGATGCTCCTTCAGTCATGTGATATCTTATGCTTTCCATAACAAGCAATACAATATAAATTATCTAGCATCTGCCTGTTCAGCAGTTTCGAGTGGTGGCAGTGAAATTCAAAATAGTAGTGGTGGGAAGGTGTGATGGTGGTTGGTCTGGTGTCAGAGTATTGAATGTAATCCATTATTGTGAACAACTTTATGAAAACAAAATTTTATTTATTTATTTAATTTATTGAATCACCGTGAGAAAAGTTACAAAGCTTCTAGGTTTAAGTTTCTGTCATACAATGATCAAACACCCCTCCCTCACCAGTAATTATTTTTCACCACCACGAACCCCAATGTACCCCCCTCCCACCCCTCCCAAAGCCTGTGAGGTAGATGATTTCTACTTAACTCTCTCTACTTTGAATACATTCATTATTTTGACAAAAGATGCACCATTATTGTTTGGAATTTCCCCCCAACAATCAGAACTGCTGAAAAGGCAGTTTCTATTGCTGGTTATGAAAACCATATGATGTTGTGCTGCTTTGGATTTCTGATATTTTATTAATTGTCTGGAGGGATTTCTGCCAAGAGCTGGATAATTACGAGATTGGTTTCTGTGAGACTGGTGCCATGGCCGGGCCAGAGAGCTACCCGTAGGGGGCAACTCATGGCCTCCGTTGGGCATGAAGAACGAGCCGGTTCCGCCCCCCCTTCCCATGAGGCTTCAGTTGCCCCATCACTGCCGACTCATACCTGGCTTTCCAATAAGCTCTGAGGTGGCGGCCACCATGTTGCTGCTGGGGCGGGGGGGGGGAAGGCAGAAGAGACAGACACCCTTTTCCTCCTGGGGAGGGGTATGGCGCCGGAGTTTAATGCATAGTCCATTCACATTTCTGCCTCAAGCTGCTGGGCTCTGGATTAGGTCCATGTGCCTCTGGTGCCATGGCCATGCTGGAGAGCCGCTCGTGGGGGGCAACTCATGGCCTTGGTTGGGCGTGAAGCTGAAAACAAAATTTTAAAAAAATCCTTCTTTTCTCCAAATGACTGTATGTGCACATAGAAGTAAGAAAAGTAACACTATTTTCTTACTTAAAATACACATGTTTACTCCTTAGAGTCAGAGTTCATAGGTTTTACCTTTTTATTTTACTCAACTTAATACAACATGATCTCCCAAGAAGTTTGGAAATAAGTTGCTAATCATTATCTTATTTAGCATGACAAAACTGTGCTCTGCATGCTCTTTCACAAGAATTACATCAGTTCTATAGATGTCCAAAAAGTTTTATAATGCTCAGAATTAAAGATCTTATAACATATATTGCACTTGCCAAAAGTTCACTTCACTTTAGGAATTAACCAGAACATACTAAAAAGTTTCCTCCTTGGAATTCCAATTTCTAGGAAAACAGATATAAAAGGGTTAAAACACTCACAAAGATTACCAAGAAATAGTCAGGATTTCACACTTGTGGATAAAGCTCTCTTTAGATCAAGAGTAGGTTGATACCTGGTGACGAAGCTTACATGAAATAAAATAATCTTAATAAAACACTAAGAATAAAACTCACCGACTGAGTTTTAATACTGCCCATTTCCCCCCTTTCATTCTCTTATCTGTAGCTGTTTCTGGATTCTTCTGGAAGGGAGGGGTGAGATAATGAAGTTTTGTGCAGTTCCTTGCATTCTTCCAGTTCTATAACTTTTAGGATTATGTTGTAAAATAAATTACTAGCTTTTTTTTTAAACCAGGGCTGGAGCGATAGCACAGCGGGTAGGGCGTTTGCCTTGCATGCAGCCAACATGGCCGACCCGAGTTCGATTCCTCTGCCCCTCTCGGAGAGCCCGGCAAGCTACCGAGAGTATTTGATATGCCAGACACAGTAACAACAAAGGTCAATGGAGACGTTACTGGGCCCGCTCGAGCAAATCGATGATCAACGGGAGGGCCTCTCTCTTTTTTAAACCAATACTTCATTCAATAAGTCTGATATTCATTTCCATCACATGGTATTGTACACGATCATCTGTTGAAACAGATTTCTTTTTAACAGGTCTTAGTTTTAAAAAAGTCATATTGTGAATTCTGTATAAACTGGTAGAGAGTGAGTTCCTTTGTTTTGAGTTATAAGCCTCAACTTCACCGCAGAATAAAGAATGTGGCCATAGAAAGCATAACCGTTCACTCATATAGAACAGTATTGTTTCTATAATTTGAAGCTTTCTGAATGGTCGGGTTCAGGCCTGATGTAACTGTAAAAAGATTACTTAGTGAATAGACTATATGGGAATTGTACAAAATGTTATTAAGTCTGATCATTAATAGCTTAACTAGCACTAAGTGACTAATCGCTGTTTGAGTCCCGAGGAGGCCGCTGTGGACAGACCCAGGTCACCTTTTACTTCGGGTGTTTCAGTGTTTTCCAACAGAAACTTTGGCCTTAGGAAAGAGTCACAAACATTTAAAATAATGGCTTTAATTGTCTTTTATATAGTAGGGGGAAGTGTGCTTTAATTAAATATACATACCAGTGACGCTGGCAAGGTCGAAAAGTTACTCTTAATGTTGACAGCTATAAAAACTATAGTTTTTACATGTAAGACAATGAGAGAAAAAAAAGCAATCCCTCTGAAACAAAATAAAAAAAATGTTCACAGTGGCTTGTATCAACAGATATGTATTATATGACAATAACATGTACATACCGAGCACCCTAGGGCTCAGTTTATGTCCTAAAGAAAATGAGCTCTTACATTACTTATGTTTTTTTTCTGAATTAAAAAAAGATCAATTGTACAATGACCCTCTGGGAAGAATAACTGTCTGGGATGTACAGCATTAACACCATGATTAAAATTGTTTGCAAAAGGAATCGAGAATTAAAAAAACAGAACAAAATACTTGGTGGAATTGCAGAGTCTTTCATTTGCTGTTACAACCAGCAAACGGCTTCATTAAGACAAAAATGGAAGGGTGGGCGCGCTCCACAGACACACTATTGAGCAAGCTGACCATTTATGCACATTACAGTTTTAAAAATGAAGGTTATACACTCTATGTTACAAGTCCCCGCTAGGCAGTTTTTTCTTGGCCGGCTTTGTGATCGTACTCCGTGGAGGTGTTACAGGTCTCCTGGCATTCGGTTTCTTTTTCTCTGGAGGCTTTAGTACCTGAAATGTGCACATGAGCGTCTCGTCCACACTCATCATGGCCCCGGCATTGTCAAATTTTCCACAGTAATTGGGTGCGGAAAACAGAGTGACCAACTGCCTCTTGGCAAAAAATTCATACCCATCTTCAACCACCTGATGGGCTCTACAGATAAGATCCAGATCATGCTCATGGAGAAATTTTGCAACCACGTCTGCACCAAACGTGAAGGACACTCCTCTGTCATTTTCACCCCAGCCTAAGACATCCTTATCGGGGTCAGACCACAGAAGATCACAAAGAAGACCCTGACCTGGTACGTCAGTTGGTCGCGTAATTCCCCGAATCTGCTCCATAGATCGAAGATCCGGGGACAAACCTCCATGACAGCAGAAGATCTTCTCGTCCACGATGGCGGCTATCGGCAAACAGTTAAAGCAATCCGTGAAAGTTCTCCACAGTTTAATGTTGTACCTTCTTTTGCATTCGTCATAAAACCCGTAGATCCTACTGATGCTGGCACATTCATGGTTCCCTCTGAGGAGGAAAAAATTCTCGGGGAATTTGATTTTGTAAGCCAGTAAGAGGCAGATCGTCTCCAGCGACTGCTTCCCCCGGTCCACGTAGTCCCCGAGAAACAGGTAGTTGCTCTCTGGAGGGAAACCACCGAACTCGAAAAGTTGGAGCAGATCGTAGTACTGCCCGTGGATGTCACCGCAGATCTTGAGCGGCGCTTCGAGGTCGAGCAGGGTGGGCTGGCTGAGGAAGATCTCGCGGGACTTGAGGCACAGCCCCCTGATTTCACTCTCCTGAAGCTGGACATCCTTCCCAGGCTTGGCCCCCCGCACCTCCAGCAGCCGTTGGAGGATGCTGTCGATGTTGAGTTTGTCTGTATCCGCCATCGCCTCCCCTCCCCCTTCCCCTCCCCCCCACCCCCCACCCTCCGGCAGGGGCACTGCCGTCGCAGGCTGGTGGCCGGGACTCACGCCTCCTCTCCCACGCCACGAGCACTGAGGTGGTGGTGGCGGCGGCCGTGGCAGCAGCCGCGGCGGGACACCCCCCCCCCCCCCCACCAGCCGCCCCGCACCCTGCTTCCTCCTGCTCTCCCCACTGGAACCACCAATTAATTACTAGCTTTTTCTTACTTCAGTTATTTCAAATCAGGAGCTATCAAGGCCAGATTTTTTTTTTTTTAACGATTCCACACAGAAACAAGCAAATAAACATATGCTTTCAGACACAGGAAAAGACCCTTGGTTCTTACCAAACTTTCAAATGCCAGCATAAGAAAACACTTAAACTGCCAATGTTTATGAAAAAAATGAGAAAACTGCCTTTGATTTAATTTTTGATGGCTTTTTGTATCTCTATTGTTTGTAAAGCAGCCTGATTTCTCATTAAAATTAGCTAAGGCTTATAAGGCAAAGCTTTGTTCTGGCTCATAAAGTTGAGTTTTTTTTTCTTTTTGGGTCATATCCAACGATGCTCTGGGGGTCCTCCTGGCTCTGCACTCAGGAATCACACCTGGCGGTGCTTGAGGGACCATATGGGATGCCGGGCATTGAACTCAGGTCGGCTGTGTGCAAGGCAAATGCCCTACCCACTGTACTATCACTCCAGCCCTGTCTCACAAAGCTGTTATCTCACTTCTGCTTTTGATTCTACCTCCCCATGCTTTCTAAACAGTACAGGTTCTGGAGCTGAGAAAATTAGGGATCAGGAATCTTTTAACCTTTTATAGTAAGATCTAGATTGAGAATTTTAATTTCTCCTCATTCTCAACACTCAGTTTTATTTTTATTTTTTGCTTTTTTTGGGTCACACCTGGCAATACACAGGGTTATTCCTGGCTCTGCACTCAGGAATTACTCCTGGCGGTGCTCAGGGGACCATATGGGATGCTGGGAATTGAACTCAGGTCGGCTGCGTGCAAGGCAAACGCCCTACCCGCTGTGCTATTGCTCCAGCTCCCTCAACATTCAGTTTAGAGGTATTTCAGCTTGTCATAATTAACAGCCTACTGACAGACTTCTTCATCTCAGTTAAAAATCAAATCGAATGATCTCAAATTTTCCTGCCTCCTCTGCTCTAATTAGCCCATTTCTTTTGCTTTTTGCAAAAAAGCAAACTGCAACATAGTATGATAATGCAAGCTGCCATCTTTACCAGGCTCTAGTTTATACTTTGGTCATGTGTTTTACAAAGGTCGGTAAGACACTTCCTTTTTGACCTCTAATGGGAACTTATTTCAATATTTTAATAAGCAACCCAGAGGGGAAGAAAAAAACCTAAAACAGAATGGTTCCTTGGCAAACTTGTTCTCAGGATCTCTTTAATTTCTGGAGGGGCTTTGACCCCTTCTAGTCTAAAGTGCTGTGACTTTAGAGCCTACCTCTGGTGCTGTTATATCCAGGTTTGGAGTTTCCCGTTTGCAGAGAGACTGGTTCCACATGTGAGAATGCAAGAGAAAAGGACCTTTATTGCTAGCTCAAGCTAGGGTCCAAGTCTCATTCAATGCAGTGGATTTTGACAAGGACCCTGAGCCTTACTACAGCAGGTTTTTATATCTGTAATCACATAACATACTTAGCAGGCACCAACTTTGATCACGTAAGCATAGCTAGGAGGCACCAACGGTTATGCTTTGGGTTTTTTTTTTCCAGTAACAGACTATAGCACAGGACAACAGGATGTGTTGCTTACTGATTAATGTAAGCAGGTAGGGACCGGGTGGGGGTGTCTTTCCCGTAACTCTAACCACAAACTTTTGGGGAAACTGGAACACGGGTCTTCGGGAAACAGAAATACTACTGCTTGCTTTGCTAAAGTGCGGCCTGTCATGGCTTCTTGTTCTGCCTTACTCCAGCCCTTCTTCCTTCCCCCCCCCCTTTTGCTTTAGCTCATATGAGGAATCTTCCTCATATATTGACCCAGTTATGGGGTTCACCCACTCTGATCGCTGGTCCTGAGCTGACTCCTGATATTGTTGTCTTAGTATCATCGGTTGAACTGTGTTTACCCTATGTTTAACAAAAGACACCCACTTATTCAGGATGCAAGGGCCAAGGTCAGGAGCAAAAGCAGGAGCACTAGGGGTCCCATGTGGGATGGGATCAGGGTGACAAGTTGACTTTCCCAGTTCTCCCTCTATAACAATACCTGTAGCACAATCTACCATTAAACACAATTCAGGAGGGCTGGAATTGGCAAAGTAGGAATGGGACAAGCCAGGGGTTAGGTGCAAGCAAGCCAAGTATTTCTGGGTCCCAGGTATAGGGGCTCTTCTAGAAGAGCTGTGGTATAATTGCTGGGAGGCCACTCTATAGTTTTGGTTACAATATGCTCAGTATGTCCCTGAAAAAAAAACCCCACACATCCCAGGATGGGCCATAACTGGCACTGATCAGGGTAAATTCTACCTATCTCTAGAGCAGAATGTACCCAGTGTTAAAACTGGGGCACCTAAGGAGTTCGTTCCATAGCTGTCACTATGAGCATGCAGAAACAGAAAATAACCTGTGCCCTTCCCAAGGTTCCTTTAAGTAACTTTCTTCAGTCTTATCTTGAGGGAGTCGTCTCTGGTTGTCTGGACACACCATTCATAGTATGTCTTCGGGGGATGTGGGGGCAGCTTTTATGTGTTACGTGTGGACACAGGTTTTGATTTAGTTCACCTTCAGAGCAGTTGGTATGGTCAGGATCACGGTATAAGGACCTCTCCACTGAGGTTCTCAGGTGATAGTCTTATGTCACCTGATTTAGACCAGATCTCCCAATGCATATGGATGAAAAGTTACTAGTTCCCCTTCACTCAGATAGTGTGCTCCAAGCCCCACATGGAGCTGGGCCTTGATACCTGTAGGCCCAGGAATGACTGAGGAAGAGAGAGATCATACATTCTGGCCTACACTTCCTCTTTCAAGGCTAAGTTGGAGTAGTCACTTAGAGTCAACCCAAAAGAAATTCAAAGGGAGCAGAGTTCTTCCATAAAGGGAGTTCGCACTCACAACAGGGCAATTGGAAGGGATTTTTTGGGGGGAGGAATTTTCTTAATCTATCTACCTACATCATGGCCTACATCATAGTCCCCTAGAGATTTCACCACCTAAATCTTTAAGGTACTGGCAGAGGGACAAATCCACGCGGGTTCTGGGGCCGAGATCTCCCAGCCTACTCGGATTGGAGTCGAGCATCCTCCACCCAGATCCTCCAAATTCTAGTAGGCGGGGGTCACACCCACCACCTGGCCCCCTGGCGCCGTGTAATCCCATCAACGGCCAAGACACAGAGACTATAAAATCCAGCTCCCGGACGAGAACAGTGCAGTCTGCCCCCGCGCCTGGCTGTTCCTCGTCGGGGCCCGTTGGAGGGGAGCTGGTTGAGCTTTCCTCCCCGCCCTGACCAGGGCTCCGGCAGCCGAAGACCTCCAGGACCAGCCACCACCATGCTGAGACCACTCTCCACACACCTGAAGGTACTGGCAGAGGGACAAATCCACGCGGGTTCCGGGGCTGAGATCTCCCAGCCTACTCGGATTGGAGTCGAGCATCCTCCACCCAGATCCTCCAAATTCCAGTAGGCGGGGGTCACACCCACCACCTGGCCCCCTGGCGCTGTGTAATCCCATCAACGGCCAAGACTCAGAGACTATAAAATCCAGCTCCCGGACGAGAACAGTGCAGTCTGCCCCCGCGCCTGGCTGTTCCTCGTCGTGGCATTCGCGGCCATGTGACATCTTGTCAGGACATCTTTTATGACATCTTATTATCTCATTCCTACTTTGGACAAACTTGCAGGCTATCGAATGTAGCCTGCCCACAGGGCAGAGTCTGGCAAACTCCCCGTGGCGTACCAAATATGCCAAATACCAGTAACAATGATGGGTCTCATTCTCCTAAAGAGCCTTGAATATAATCTCAGGGCTAGGATGAAAGAGACGTTACTGGGGCCTGCTCGAGGCAATCGACGAATAACAGGATGATGAAATGAAATGATAAAATGAATCTTTAACTGGAAAATGATCAAAGTTACGCCTTCTGGAGCTGCTTCCTGCTGACAGAGGGGCACTGACCCCGCATGCTCAAGGGCACTGACCCCACATCTCAAGCAAGCTTTTTTCCTTTAATAATACTTAACTGCATTAGTCCAGGGGTCAACAATGTTAAACTTCCCTTTGGAAACCTCACTCCAATCCCCATTCTTCCTCTTCTGCAGAGTGGTCTGACTTAGAGGAAATATTCTCTAAATGGGGTATTAATCCCATGATGGAATAAGAATTAAAAGCTGTTTAAAAAATCTGTTCTTTCCAAATGACTATATGCATTCAAAGAACTAAGAATAAATACTTAGAACCAGTTCAGATGTCCACTCTCAGTACTTTAGCCAATTGACAGGCTGGGTGGGGGGGAATTGATTCTGCACTTTGAGCTGAGGTTCCCTCTGGTAAACCTCTGGCTTCTGCTTTTCTGGCCAGATGGGTGACAACATGTACAATATTGAGTTTCTTTATATACTAGGAAGCTTACTTACTGAATTAACCAAGTATTCAATTACCTTTGTAGAACTAGAATCTGACTCTTACAAAAAGCAAGATACAGAAACATGGTTTTCTCTCCTCCATTTTAAATTTGCCAGGTGTCTTAACAAACCTGGCTTGGTCTTTTGCATAAACACAGCAAGATTGGCTCCATTTGGGGTACCCTGTTATTTACTGAGAAGTCCTGGGGGTTGGTCAAAGACAGAGCAGGAGACACAGCACTAACAGCATTTAATGTTTTACCTCACATTAATGTTTTACCTCACATCAAGGCTACTCCAGGCTCAGCCATAAGATGTGAAGATCAAGTCCCGCAATGAACTAGAGGTAGAGCCTCAGACTGAACTGGATGTGGCCTCAGGCCTCTCA